GGATGTTCCTGACTCCCAGGGATGTTCCTGACTCTCAGGGATGCTCCTGGTTGGATGTTCTTGACTTCCAGGGATGCTCCTGACTCCAAGTGATGTTCCTGATTCCCAGGGATGCTCCTGGCTCTCAGGAATGCTTTTCCAGAGAGCAGTGGGTGTAAGAGCTTCCTTCCTGGATGCTGCTGGCGTTGGCCAAGTGATGCAATCCCGAGCTGTGTTCCTCAAGCCTCAGAGCTGGCACTGGCTGCCTGGGGAGGCCCTGGTGCAGCCCAGCTGCTCCAGCAGCTGCAGATCCCATCAGCAAATCCTCCTGGAGCACCCCTGGTAGCCTCCATCCTCTCCTCCCTGTCACATCCGGGCTCTGGGGGCTTCCCTGGGAGCTCAGGTCCTGGGGGAGCAGCCTGAGCAGATGGCTGGGCTGGGAGCTGTGGGGAAATGGGGAAGGGCAGCTCAACCCCCTGGCCCTCTGCAGAGAGCACTGGGGTTTGTCTCATCAATGGAGTGAAAGGTAAAACCAGACTGCAGCTGGGCCTGCAGGGTCCCTGGGCTGGTCACAGGCTGTGCCCTGGCCAGGCTGAGCCATCCCAGCTGCAATTGCATCATTGCAGCCCCTCCCAGCCCCTGGGGACTGGCCGTGCTGGATGGCCTGGACAGGGGCCACCCCCTGCACCTGCAGCAGGGCTGAGAGGAGATGCTCCCTGCAGCCCTGGCAGGGACTGGGCATTCTGTTCATGGGGCTGGAGAAGGAGATCGGGGAGCAGGAGGAGCCTGTGAGGATGCTGGGACCTATGAGAATGTTGGAGCCTGGGGTCACAGTGGAGCCCAGGATGATACTGGAACTGAGGATGTGCTGGAGCCCAGGGTGATGATGCTGGAACTTGGAATGTGCTGGAGCCCAGGACAGTGCTGGAGCCTGGGGTGATGCTGAAATATGGATTATATTGGAGCCTGGGATGATGCTGGAGCTCAGGATATTGGACCCTGGGATGATACTGAAGTTTGGGATGTTGCTGGAGCTTGGAATGTGCAGGAGTCCAGGACAGTGCTGGAACACAGCATTATGTTGGAGTTTGGGATGATGCTGCAGCCTGAGACAATGGCAGAGCCCAGGAAGATGCTGGAGTTGGGAATGTCCTGGAACCTGGGATGACGCTGGAATGTTCTGGAATCCAGGATGATGCTGGACCTTGGGGTGATGCTGAAACCTGATAAGTTGCTGCAGCCCAGGCTGATATTGGAGCCTGGGATGATGCTGGAGCCCTGGAGGATGCTGGGCCTTGGAATGATGCTGGAATCCAGGATGATACTGGAACCTGGAAGATGCTGGAGCCAGGAGGAAGCTGCTCCTGGATCATTCCCAGTGTGCAGATCCTGTCAGGAGCCCTGGGGCAGCTCCCTGCCAGCCCGGGGCACAAGGAGCAGCGTTCAATCAGTGCCATCACCCTGCCTGCCCTCGGAGCTGGGCTCCTGCCTGGCACAGTGCTGCCCACATTCCCTGCTTTCACTGTGCTGATCCCTGCAGGAGCTGAGCTGGGCCAGTCCCAGCTGGAACCAGGATCCATCCCTGCTCCCCTCTGCCCCTCCAGGAGCTCTCAGGGGAAACTGAGGCACGGGGGAGGAGAGCTTGGGATGCATCCCTGCCGGGGAGGGGATACATGTCCCACAGCAGCTGTCCGTTCTCCAGCCCCCGGGAGATGGATGGGATGGGGTGGGATAATGGGTGGGATGGGATAATGGGATGGGGTGGGAGCTGCCGGGGCCAGGATAACCCGGACACGCACGTTCCCTTTAAGACGGCAGCTGGGAAAGAACATTCTGCCAGTAACGGCTCTGGAGGCGAGGCAGGGAGTAATTGCTGGGGAATTCTAAACCGGGAATGAGCCGGCCGGGACCTGGGGGGGAGGAGGAGGAGGAGAGGGCTGCAGGGAGCGGGTGCTGGGGAGATCAGAGACGAGGAGAGAAAAAGGGAGGGCAAGAGGCGGGGGAAAGGAGGGAAACGGCGAGAAAAATGTACAGACCATGTTTGGCCAGAGAGCGATGTTTGTACAAGATCGTATTCCAAAAATACCGCCCGTTCCCAGCGCCGCCGTGCGGGGATGGAGCCGCTGCCCGCCGGGACCCGCTCGGTTCGGCACCAGGATCCCGCTCGGTTCGGCACCGGGCCCCGCTCGGTTCGGGCACCGGGAGCCCCTCGGTTCGGGGCCGGGCCGGGCCGGGCCGGGGTCGCCGCCGGGAGGTGCCGGGGCCGGGCCGGGCCTCCCTGTGCTGCGAGTTTGGGCTCTGACAGCGGCGGGGCTGCTCGCCTTTTTTGGAGCTGGGCACATGGAGAGGGAGGCGGAGGCGGAGGGAGCTCAGCCAGCCCTGTTCCCTGCTCCATTCCTGCATCTGGGCTCCATCTCCGTTCCCAGCTCCATCGCCGCATCCCTGCTCCAGCCCTGCTCCCTGCTCCATCCCGGCTCCATCCCCGTTCCCAACTCAATCCCCATTGCCGGCTCAAGCTGTTCTCAGCTCTATCCTGGCTCCTTCCCCGTNATTTTGGGGATTCCGGGGCTCGGAGCTGGGGTGTCGGGCAGGTCCCCGTGTTTGCTGCCATCCTCTGTGCCGCAGCCCCGGCCGGGCTGGACACAGAGCTGAACAAAGAGCTCGACAAGGAGCTGAATAAGGAGCTGGACACAGAGCAGGGAGGGAGCGGGGCCGGGCAGAGCTGCAGGGGAAGGCTTTGGGGAGGAATGGGGACGGCCAAGCAGTGACGGACACAGCCCCGGTACTGCTGACACTCGTATTTTTAGGATCAATTTAGTCCGTCCAGTCCCCACCCCGTCTCCTGCCATCCTCCAGCAGGGATCCTGGAAATAACCGCGTCTGTGGGGATGCCAGCTGTGCCAGGAGGCAGCATGCTAGCCCGCGGGGTGGTGGCTTCCAGCCCGGGCATCCCCAGAATCCTCCATCCCTGCCCGGGGCTGCTCCTCCTGCCCCTGCCCGGGATGGGGGCAACGGCTGCCCGGGCTGCCAGGGGGGATTTCCAGCCCTCCAGAGATGGAAATGGGCTGGAGCCAGGGATGGGAATGGGGCTGTGCCCAGAGATGGGAATGGGGATGGACAGAGAGATGGGAATGGGGCTGTGCCCAGAGATGGGAATGGGGATGGACAGAGAGATGGGAATGGGGATCATACCCAGAGATGGGAATGGAGATCATAACCAGTGATGGAAATGGGGCTGTGCCCAGAGATAGGAATGGCTGCTGTACCCAGAGAGGGAAATGGGGCTGTATCCAGCACTCTACCCTGGGCATCCTACTGGTATCCAGCCCTGGGGAAGATCTCGATATGTCCTGTCCCAGCCCAGAGCCTGCTCAGCCTTGGGGCTCCCCCTGCCTCTTTCCCTTCCCTTTGGAATTGCTTTCTCCAAGGTGTGGAGCAGGAGGGGAGGGGAGGATCAGGCTGCCCGCAGTGGTTGGGATGTGCTGCAGGTGCAGAGGGCACTTCCCTGCCCTGCTCCCTGCAGGGAAGCCCTTTCCCCCTTGTTTCCCCCTTGTTTCCCCCTTCTTTTCCCCTTCTTTTCCCTGTGCCAGATGTGGCCACACAGAGCAAACCCTGCCAGTTCTGTTCTGAACCAGCCCAAACCCTGCCCTGACCCCCGGACTTGGGTACCCTGCTTCCTGATTCCCAAGGATGTTCCTGACTCCCAGGAATTGTTCCTGATTCCCAGGGATGTTCCTGCCTCC